ACTGCGGGCGGCGCGCGCACGTGACCCCGCCCCGCGAGGCGCGCACGCGCTACGCGCCGCGGTCCTGAGAGCCGCGTCCTGCTTGTCCTTCCGCTCCAGCGGCCGTACTGTGCACTCCACGCCGGTGATGCCTGGGGTCCTCGTCACCGTTACCAGGTGGGGACCGCAGGACTGGGGGGACATGGGGAGAGCCTGGAGACAGCCACCAAATACACACCCTCAGCCTGTCGCCCACAGGTGCCCCAGTGCCACCTGCAAGACAGCTCGGCCGATGGCTGGGGTCAGGCTGCCCCCCTTCCACCGTTTTTTTTGCCCCCCTTGCACCTTAACCGCCCCCGCCCGTCCCTTCTCTCCTGTGTCACCACAGGCCAGTCGGTCCCTGGCTCGCTGGGGTAAGACAGGTGGAAGGGAGCCTGGAAAGAGGGGGCCCTGCAGTCGGGGCTGAGCAGGTGTTGGGGGGTCAGCATTACTAGGGAGCGCTTGAGTGGCCAGGGGTCAAAGCTCGTTTCATACCTGAGGGGTGGCACCAGCCCTCAAGGCCACTAAGCTCCAAGTAACCATGCTCAGCTATGCACAAGGGCTTGGAATTGTCCCTGCTCTCTTCACTCATCCCCTCTGATAGAGGCCTCCCCCTGGGCGGGGGCCCTCCTGGGTCCCCCACGGGGCGGCGGCGCCTACACGCCGCACAGCTGCTGGAACAGGGCCACCTTCCTGGCTCCTGCAGCCAGCCAGCAGGGTTGGGTGCTGCCCCAGCGACACACCGATGGGACGGTTGGCAGGTCACGCCACTTTCCGATGGGACCCTTTATTGCACTTTCTTGTCTCCGCTTTGCTGTCCAGCACGCCCTCAAGGGCTGTGGTCACTGCGGTAGGCAGACAGGGTGCCCATCCAAGCGGCCTTCTCAGAGTCATGGCATCCTAGAGGTGGGGTGGCTGAGTGGACACTGCCCATCCAGGCGTGGACCCCAGGATCCTGCCTCCGCGTCATCCTGTGTACCATGGGGCCCTGGCCGATGTGCTCTCTGCCTTCTGCCGGGCAGGGCCTGCTGCCCAGAAACAGCCCAGAGCTCCAGCCCGCTGGAGCAGCAGCTCAGCAGAAAGAGGCCCGTGTCCTCCCGGCTGTAATCGTCTTTAACCCTCACCCTCGGGGCTCAGGGATGTGGGGCGACCTGCCCAGCATCCCAGGGCGCTAGGACAGACTCCCCAGCCCTTGTTCTGTCGGCTGCCTCCCACTCAGCCATTCAGCAAACATTCTCAGAGTGCATCCTGGTGCCGGGTGCCAGGACAAACTCAGCTCGCTGTGGTTAATCAGTGTGGTCTTGGAGCTGGCTGTCTGGGGGGCAGAATGGAGAAGGGGGACAGCAGCTTTGCGAATGCTGAGATGGATGTGGGGTTGTTGTGGGAAGGCACAGGGGCCCCCACCTGGAAGGGAGCACACATTAAGGCAGGCTTCCTGGAGGAGGGCACGGCAGGAGTGATTCCCAGGGAACTGGCCTTGTAGTAAGACAGGCAGGCCTGGCCTGTAGGTGGCAGGAGCAGAGGTGTGCTGGGCCCGGTCCTGTGGGCCAAACAATGGTGTTGGACTGTAGTACCTGATGAGGGAGGGCGTTGGCCTGGAAGAGACAGGAAGTTCAAGCTTTGGGCGCTTCATGGCAGGGAGCACCACAGGGATTTGTAATTATGTTTGATTCTTGAAGGGCACCTCTGCAATTTAAGAAGCTTCAGAGCCATAAAACTTTAATCTGCTCTGGCAAGTTTGCCTGTATTTACACAAGGCTTAAATCCCATCCTGCCACACAGCGCTGAGGGTTCCCCACGGGGCCTGTGACCCTGTGTGCATTCCTCTCCCGGCCCAGGCCCTGTACTTCTTTCCCGCATGGGGCATCTTTGGCTCCAGGCCCTTGTGCCTGTCATACCTGCTGGGAGAGCAACCTGGGCAGCAGTTTGGTTTCAGCAGCTGGGTTCTGCCCATCACTTGCTCAGCCGGTGTCCGAGGGCTGTGCCCTGGCACAGGGTCTCCAATTAGCCATTGTGCCCAGGGGCTGAGGCCCACCACGCTGGGCGAAGCCCCAGAGCCAGGCAGGGAGTAAGAACCTGGGAGCCTCCCCTGCAGGCTGACGCTGCCCAGGCCTCTGGGTCTCCACTGGTCTCCAAGTCCAGGAGCCACCTTGTGCTCCAAGCAGAAGCTCCCTGCAGGCAGGGCCTGCTCCTTCAACACAGCCCCGAGTCATAGACCCCTCCTCTGAGTGGTGGCCCAGACAGCCCTGGCAGGGGTTGCTTCCCGGGGACACACAATCCATGGGTCCATTTGTGTCTCTCTGGGACTCCAGTCCTCTCCAGCCCACACCATGTTACTGCCCTGATGACTCCAAGGGCTCACATTTCGGGGATGGCTCCCTGCTTCCCTGCTATACCGGGAGTTCTAAGAAGAGTAGGCTCAAGGCTGCCCCCAGCCTTGTTCGGGGGCCAGGTCGAGGGGTGCCCACATGACCACAGGTCTCTCCCAACCTATTGTTTCCTCCTGCCATGGGAAAGATGTTGCCAGATACCAGGCCGCCAAGTCTTCCACCCACACCACACCCCATCTCTCCCCAGCTCCCCATGGCTTCCTGAGGCTGAGGTGACCCCAGGGACTGATCAGAGAGGTCCTCCAGTGCAGGCTCTGCTGGCCCATGCCCAGGTGGGGCTACAGGTTCCCATTTACCCAGGCCTCCTGCAGACCTCGAAGGATGCCTTTCTGTGGCAAGGAGCTGGGTAGAAGTTCTCATTTGTGGCAGCAGGCAACTTTAGCCTAGGCTTTCTGGAATAACCATACCCCGTAATCCCAGGGTGAGTGCGGGGGCAGTCCAGTCTGCCTGTATCCCTGGAAGCCAGTAGAACAGTTGCCCACACCACCTTTATTGAAAATCACCTCAGGCACTATTATGAAAGGCAATTTGACTCCAGCACGTGGCCAGGGGGAGCCTAGGCTGGGTCCATCACGGAGGCCCGGCTCTGGGGTTCTGAGTAAGGGGCTGGCGGTCTATGGCTGGGCAGCATCACGGTACCCAGGACCACTCCAGCCAGAGGTAAGGGGTCCTGGCTGCTGTGCACGGGGGGGGGCAAAGTGCAGCTTCAAGAGCACTAGGCCACCAAAGGGGACAGCAGCAGGACTTCAGGCACTTTGAGTGGGGCACGTGTCCTTGGCCAGGGGAAGCCTGCCAGGCCCTGCCCTTTATAGCTTCGCGTCTCCTCCTCCTGTCATCATCCTCATGCCAGATCACCGTGCAGCCGTGGGTGTGCGGCCCTGTACAGCTGACAGCCACCTCTCCACCCAGCTCCTCCTGCTGGACTCGTGACAGAGAGAGTGAGGCAGGATGGGGCTGGTCTCTACCTAAGGCTTACACTGGGGCAGGGGACTGTGTGGCCCAGGCTCTGCTGTCAGCTCCTCAGCCATCTGCTATCCTTGACGAGCGTAGCAAAGCGGATCAGCTTCAGGCTGGGTGGCAAGGGCTTCGTGGCATCCCAGATGTACTCGGGAGACAGAACCTTAGAAGGCTTGTGTGTGATGAGGCGGCGGTTCAGGTGGCTCTCTTCCTGCCAGGCCGCCATGATGCCATTGGCTTTGTCTGCCAGGATGGCCATGTGGCAGCCGCTGGTGAACTCATACACGTTGGCCACTCGCCCCCCGAAGACTGCCCCAGCATAATAGAAGTCCCCTTCGTTTTCGGCTACAAAGGCCGTGGAAACCTGCCTGCGCTCATAGGGGAACTGCTGGCGGGTTGCAGAGAAATAGCCTGGGTGAATGGCAGCCACCAGGTCCCCCAAGGTCTCAGGGCCCCACAGGTTCTGGAACACCATGTCCACATCGAGGCAGAAGAGATAGTCCACCTCCTGGTGCGCCCTCTTGGCAATGTGCCGGCTGATGGTCTCCATCCGACGTATGGTGATCTCCTCCCAGTGGGTGTAACCTTGGATGGGGATGATGTCGAGGAGCCGGTGGGGGCCCAGCAGGACCTTAGGAATGGCTGCAGGGTCATGGGTGAAGATGTAGTAATGCACCTGGAAGCCATGCATGAAGAACTTCTCCGCTGACTCCAGGAAGTGCTGGACGAATTGGGTGTACCTGTGATGATAAACTTGTCATCCAGGGTTACTCAGGAGGGCCACTGCCTGGCCCCCACTATGTGCCGGCCCTACCCAGGACACAGGGTCTGGGGCAGCCAGGCTGAAGTCCACTTCCTAGCTCCCAACCTCAAGAAGTCATTCAAGTCTCACCCTGGGGTTCTTGTCTTTCAAACTCCCGTAATCCTAGCACAGGCTGAAATCGCTCATCTGAAAGTCCAACTTCAGATTCTGGGATTAGTGATGCTTAGCTGGTAAAGTCTGCAGATTTGCATACTTTGCAAAACTCTGAAACTGAAATGCTTCTGGTCCCATGCATTTCAGATCAAGATGCTATTTAACCTGTACTGACTACCGAAGACTGCCCTAAGAATGACCGCTGAGGGTGATTCTCTTTGCTGCTTTCTTTTTTACAGTATGTGGGGAAGGAATCCAGGGCTGGTCTACCACCGAGCTACACCCCCAACCCTTTTTGTTTTCATTTTGAGACTGTCTCCCTAAATTGGCCAAGTTGGCCTTGAACTTGTGATCCTCTTGCCTCTGTAGCGGGGATTTCAGATGTGGACCAAGGGTGCCCAGCCTGGTGATGCCTGCAGTCATACCCACCCTGCCTCTTCCTGCCTCCTCCTGAGCACTGGGCAGTGCTCTCAGGGATTCTCAGGAGCTCTGACTGTTGTAAGCTGCCTAGAAGCTTGCCCATTTTACAGGCAGGACACTGAGGACCAAGGGGAAGAAAGTAGCTGAGAAGTAGGTGGCAGAATGTGGAGGGCTGCCTGGATGACTCTCCTTAAAAGAAGAGCAGTTATCTCCATTTTCACTGAACCTGGCCCTATTTCCATGTATTGATGTGTGCAGAGCTGGCTAGGGTTTTTCCTTTTCCCCTCAATTGGCTTTAAGCAGTGCAAATTGGCCCAGCCAGGTGCTGACAGGTAGTCTGTGAAGCAAGGTGACAGGGCAGTGTTTCTCCGCCCCCATATCTCCCAAATAAAATGTGTGCGCTGGGCAGGCTGGAGAGCTGTGCTGCACGCTGTCAGCTGGGATCAAGCCCCAAGGCAAGAGGCTACAACTTCTGAGGGCATGGAAGACTACACATCAGACCTGAGGCACGACCTCAAAACATTGGATCCTGCCTCAGTTGTGTTACGCAGATTACTCTTTCTGCATGTCTTCTCTGCATCTTGCAGAGGTGATTTCAGGCCTCCGACCTAGCCCAGCTCACAGCACTCACGTACTTCCTGCCATTCTCACAGTCACTCATCTTCAAGCCCCTCCCTTCTTCACGAATTAATAAAACCTGGATTCGGCCTTGGGTCAAGGCCTTTGTTCCGGATGGCCATTATCCTAGCTGGACTTAGGAGCCCTCGGCTCCCCATAATTACAAATACGCCTTCATGTCTTTATTCTCGCCATGGGTAGCACTGGGAGTGGTAGATTGGAATTAACTCGCTAGGATTCCAATAACTTTTCTATGTGATTACAAATATAAACTTCCTGGACTGAGACAAGAATCGGGAAGGGCTCTCTATAGCACCATCAAGGGACGGCTGGCGCTGGGTGCTGGGGGAGTGGAGCAGAGGTGCGTAACATGGCCCCACCCCCAGGACAAGGGATACCTGTCCAAGGTCCTGCTGCTCCTCACCTGGGCGGCTTCCGCCTCTGCTTCCATCCAGGACTGGCCCCTTCTCTAGGGAGCCCCTTCCTTGTCACCCTGCTTCTTCACTTCCTGTCCGTCAGCCTCTGATCACAGCCCCTCTCTCCCTGGCCTGTGAGCTCCTGCGGCTCAGGCAGACCCGCCCCAGCCCCTGCCTACCCACCACTCACTTCCCCACAGCAAACACCGTGAGGCCGATGCTCAGGTTCAAGGGCTGGTAGATGCGCATCAGCAGCTCCGGGTTGAAGGTTCCCTCGGAGATGATGGGAGCCAACCAGGGTGTGAGCGTCAGGAGCTCTGTGGGCCTGGTAGCAGGGAGACGTGAACGCAGTGAGCATGCCTGTGTGGAAGCCTGGGCCGCACCCTGGGACCCTGCTGCAGGGTCTCCGTTTCCCCATGTGGAAAGTGGGGATGGTGGCAGCTACCTCCCAGCAGGGTTGGGAGGGCGAGGAGCTGGTGCAGGCACACCGGGCGTCTACAGGAGTCTGGCGTTCTCTGTGCACGCCGGGGGTTGGTGGCAAATGTGACCTCATGTATCATGGATGGTGACAGGCATGAACCGAGACCTGGAGCCCATGGCACCCTAAAATACCATCTGCTTTCCCAACCTCCTCTGTGGTGCACAAAAAACCCAGAGCAGGTGGCTAACCTGCCCGTGCCAATGACAGCTGGAGCCCACCCTGACTTTGGCACGGCCACGGTCGTACGAATCAAAGCTCTGTTGGTCCCCTCCCCAGTCTCCACCAGGTCCCTGTGAGCCTACCTGTGCTGCACCAGCCTGGGCTGAGGGTACTGGAACCTGCAACCGAGAAGGGACAGCATGAGGGAAGGTAGCTCCCATCCCTGGGCCACAAAGGGGGCGGTGGCAGTCTGCTTACTGTTTCATGGGCTGCAGTGGCTTCTCCTCCTTGTGCTGCAGCTTCATGTTGCTGATGGCAGAGGCAAGAAAGATCGTTAGAGCCAGGCAGGAGGGATGGGGTCCAGGCAGATTCCCTCTTGGTGTCCCCGTGGCTTGACCCACTGAGATGAGCAGGGGTTCCTGCAGCCTGGTCTGTTCAGAATCACTGGGGAGCAAGGGCAGGGTGGTGATCAAACCCTGTGCTGCTTGGTTCCAAGCTGACACTTGTTTCAGCTAGGCTGCTCTGCAAGATCCGGGCATTGGGCAGAATGGCTGAGAAGCCTCAAAGACCCAGGGACTGGGGCAAGTTGATTAACTTTGGGGGCTGTGTGTCACCTAGGCTAGGGTGCAGTACCAGGTTTCTCAAGCGCAAGTCAAGCCCAGTGTGGTGGCACCCACCTGTAATCCCAGCACTCAGGAGGCGGAGGCAGGAGGACCGGCAGGAGTTTGAGGCCACCCTGGGCTACATAGAGAGTTCAAGGCCAGCCTAAACTAGATAGCAAGACCCTGTCTCAAAACAAACACACACAAGTCAAGGCCTTGCTGTGAAGGTATCTGTAGATGAGATTAGCATCCGATGATGGTCTCGGTTGATTTTATATAAAGGAGACTATCCCAAGAAGCCTGGTTGGGGCTGACTAGTTGGAAGGTCTTAAGGACAGAGCTGCGGTTCCTCTACAAAAAGAGAAATTTAGCCTGCGGGCTGTAGCATGAGTGCCCAGCTATGACTTCCAGCCTGCCCTAGACACTTCCGATCTGCCTGGCCAATCCTTAAAATCTTACAAGCCAAATTCTCTTGATGATTCTGTGCCTAAGTGTCTGTCTGTCCATCTGTCTTACCAGTTCTTTTTTTCTAGTGTAGCCCTGACTGAGACACTCAGTCCTCCTCACCTGTAAAACAGGCAACCATCCATAACCGCAGAGTGGCCGGGAGCACTAAGTGAGAAGGGACCTCAGCCTGTGCCGGCACCTGGCAGGTGCGCTGTGAGGCCGGGCATCCTAGCAGCTTCCCACGTGCTCAGGGTCTGCTGGATCCAATGACAATCAAAGAGAGCCCAGAGGATGAAGAGGCTCCTGGAGGGAGGTGGCTGGCCTGTAGGGTCAGAGCCTTGTGCTTGCTGCCGGCTCTGTCTCCAACTGGCCCAGGGACTGGGGCCAGACACCCAACTGCACAAGCTTTAGCTTTCTTGTCCACAACCCACCCATGTTAATGGTGCCCTCACAGGGTCAGGGAGAGACGCAGAGCAGGGAAAGACCTGCCCAGGGCCCTCCAGTGAGCATCACGGTGACAGCCCGCTCCAGGGGAAGCCCAAGGCGGACCATCAGCAGGCAGTCCCAAGGCGCAATTTCCTATGCCGCTGTTGCCTGCCAGTTCCCTGTGGATCTCCAACAGTGAGGGTGACTTCAGCGTCCTCTGATTCTCCCACCTTCTTCACTGTGATCTTTTCTGCGTGGTGAATCAGCCCTCCCCCCGAGGAGTGACCATCATTCTGCTTCTGCCTCGGAATCCGAGGAAGGCAGACGCCTTGTGTAAGTGGAACCATACAGTACTTGCCCTTTGGGGATTAGGCTCTACTCCCAATGGGTAATTTTTTGAAATCAGCTTATCAAATTGGACATCTGCCCGCATTTCTTAAAAACAGACCTATTTCAGGTCTTTTCTCCGGATGTGATGGGATTCTGAGAAGGCAGTTGGAAATGAAAAGGGGAAACTGCCCTTTGATGTCAGCAGCAGGCAGCCCACCCTTCCACCCTGCTCCTAAGACAGCTCCTTCCTCTTCTGCACAAAGCCAGATGCACTCCAGCTGCAGTAAGGAGGCAGACACGCGAATGCAGGAGCGGGGCATTCCCAACAGCTGCGTGCACACTAGGGAACTTTGTATTTCTAAACCCCCAAAGCTAATAAAATGAACAGTGAAAGGGTAAATCCAAAGGAAAAGAGAGATGACCAATTCAAACAAAAAATTTCCCACTCCAGTCTATTTAAAAAACTAGTAACTCGTTAAAACCCAAAGACATACAAACGGAAAAATAAAAGTGACAATAGAGAACCCACAAAGAGAGAAGATGGCTGAATAAGCAGCACTTCAAAGGAGAAATTCAACTAATGCAAAGTCATGCAAATGAAGGCTTTCCAGTATTCAGAAATGAAAACGAGAGGTAAAAGCTGGCTGTGGTGATGCACAGATGTAATTCCTGCACTCAGGAGGCTGATGAGGCAGGAGGACTGCCATGAGTTTGAGGCCAGCCTGGGCTACCTAGTGAGTTCAAGGCCAGCCTGAACTACACAGTGAGACACTGTATTCAAACAAAACAAAAAAAACCCCCCACACCCCCAAAAAACAGAAGTAGCATTTCCTATCTGGAATCAGCAGGGTGGTTGGTTTTGTGAGACAGGGTCTCACTAAGTAGTCCAGGCTGGCCTTGAACTCCCTAAGCAGCCTAGGCTGGCCTTGGACTTGCAGTGCTCCTTCTGCCCCAGCCTCCCAAGTGCTGTAATTACAGGTGTGCACCTCCATGTCTGCCTCAGCAGGGTGGTTTCACTTTGGATTCTCCGAACACTGGCTATTCCCAGAACTCCCTCACGTAAGACATGGGGGTGGTCTCGCTGGGCTTTGCTCAAGCTGGGTGTGTGCACGAGTGTGAGTGTTTGAGGCGCTGCTGTCCTTCGGGAAAACCACCTCATGAGATGTATCAAGAGCCTGCCTGCATCCTCTGGCCGGTCAGTGAATGGATCAGAGTGAAATGCTCTTCACAGTGGAAAAGGGGAGGTGGCCGCAGCTGCACATCACAAATGCAGGTAGAACACAAAGGAATTGGAAACAAGCTTAAAGCTCAACAGCTCTTGGTAGAAAAAGAACCCAGCCCCTGTGTGGGATAAGGTAATGGTGACCATGCTGAAAAGCAGGCAGTTCTGGCGAAAAGAGGATACAAAGTGCAAAAACAGAATGATCACAACTATTTTCAATACCAAGCAGTGTTTTTGTTTTCAGAACCATGTTGCACAGAACCAGCTCAATTAGAGAGTATAGCAAACCAGCAGCAACGAACGGATGTGACACACGTGGTGAGACCCGAGAGATTTTTGTCCTTTCTGTTTTCCAGCTTGCTAACTGCGACGGTTTGAGTATGGCTTGTTCCCTTCCAAGACTCAGGTTGGAGTCAAATCCCACCGTCAGGTAGTAACAAGGTGGAACCTTAATACAATTGTGTTTAATTATTTTTTTGTTTTGTTTTGGTGATTTAGAGAACCAACCCTGAGTCTAGGGTTAGAGGGCGGGGGCCACCAAGCCCAGCTATGATGGTGTTTCAAGGTGGAGCCTTTCAGGGTGATCAGGGTTAGATCCAGTCACCAGGGAGGACAGCCACGATTGAGTCCTAGAGGCTCTCTATGAACAAGAAGAGAGCAGAGGGCAGACCCACCTGTGCTTGCTGCCTTTCACCATGCGCTCCGCTTCTGTACGGTGCCACCCCGTCATCCTGGGCCAGAACTGGGAGTCCAGTTAAAGCTCAGTAAGTGGGGGGTAGAGGGGCCCCTCCTGGGCCGGTGGGAGTGTGGAGCTGGATGATGCCTGTTAACGGCCTGGCGTCATCCTAGCACACCGGAGGTGCTCAGTAAACAGTGCTTCACTAGGTCTGGACTTTTGAGCTTAATTTTGTGTTCTCTGTGGATTCGGGGAACACATTAACTTTGAGTAAAACCCTGCCCACTTAAAGACAATCTGACTTTTTGACAGCTAGGCGTGAACGAATGACTTGCCCACTCTTTTTGTGTCACTGGCAACAGAAACACTAGTGTACTGACTTACTCTGTGTTTATAAAAATAAAACCAGTCGTGTTCATTAGGAGTCTAACAACACAGATGTTCCCCTTTTCCTTTAGCTGTCACCGGAAACAGAAGACCATGCTGCGGAATGCCCCTCTGAGGGGGTCCCAACTCATTTGTTCATGCCTAGCCGTCAAAAAGTCAGATTGTCATTAAGTGGGCAGGGTTTTAGTCAAATGTTAATGTGTTCCCCAAATCCACAGAGAACACAAAATTAAGCCCAAAAGTCCAGACCTAGTGAAGCACTGTTTACTGACCACCTCCGGTGTGCTAGGATGACACCAGGCCATTGACAGACATCATCGGACTCCACATTTCCACCGGCCCGGGAGGGGCCCCTCTACCCCCCCACTTTGCAGGTGCAACAAGGGAGGCGGAGAGCTGTGCAACAGGTCCAAGCCCAACCATGAGGGGGCTACAAGGGTTCTCTGAGACCGCAGTGGCGAATGTATACCACATTTGTGGCCGCCTCTACACTACCTAAACACTGCCACGTTCATCAGAACCGTAAGCTTTGGATCCAGGAACCTATGGACTCTGTGATCTTAAAATTTCTGCTGATTCAAAATGTGAGTGCCGCACAGAGGCCCCGATTCCCCTGACCCCATACTTACAAGATCTCTGGACAGGGGAGGTAGTAGGGCACGTGGGACACCGGCAGCCAGTTCTCTGCACACAGCCTGGGAAGGAGGCACAGTTGTTGACTCCTTTCTGTTCCAGGGGTGACACCCACATGGGGTACATTCCTGGGATTGGACACCCTCAATGGCGCATTTGGGGGGATCTCTATTCTAGGGTCTGGCCGACCTCAGAGAACCAAGCCTCCTGCATATGGCATAGGGGGAGTGATCCGTTCACCCACTCAGTCATTCATTCTTAGGGCTCCTATGAGCTGGATGCCAGGGGCCCACACACACAAACAGTGGGGTGAGATGCAGGTCTCAGAGCTTCCCACAAGGGCACGGTGAGCAAATTTCGCGATCGTGGACAGGAGTTCCACAGCAACATGGTTTGAAGGATAATTGAGGCAGAGGAAATTAACAAATCAAAGGCTCCACAAAGTACAATTCAGAAGCTAAGACTAGTTAATGGGGCTGGCCTGGGAGAGGTTGGTGGGACCTGAACATCGGTAGGGGCAGAGATCAAGGTTTTGGGGTTGACATACAGGGGCAGGGAGGAGTGTTGGGATGGGCAGGAGGGAAGGGCTTCATGGGGAACTCACCACAGGACCCACAGGCCTGCACTGGCCAGCAGGCACAACCCCAGGCCCAGGCCCAGTCTCCAGTGGGTCATTGCTGGGAGTTGCTTTCCAGCAGTGGAGATGCTTCGGGCGTGGCCGGTGAGCCTTTGCGGGGCTGTCAGGCTCCCAGCCTGCCTCTCTGAACAACAGCAAAATAATTCTTACTTCACCATCATCCGGAGCCCACACCTGCAGCCCTGCGGGTCGCGGGATCTGCCCATCCGGGTAATGAGGGCACCGGGCTCAGCTGTGGGTGTCTCGCTCCACCCTCCCTCCACGGAGTCCAAAGGAGCTATGGATTCCCAGGACAGTTCCTAGCGAGGACAACAGGAGCAAAGTCCAGGCCGTCGCAGCCTGAACGCAGCCAGTCAGTTCCCGAGCCAGCGAAGAGGAGGAGCCGCCCAGATTTCCCTTTGGGCACAGATTAGCAGCCCAACACTCCTCCGGGAGGTTTGGGTCTGCATGGGGGTCTGGGAAGGAGCGTCAGCACTCTGCAACCTTGGACAAATCACCCCGCCCAGCCTCAGGGCCCTCCTCCTCCGAAGGGGTGGGGAGATACCCACCGCGGGTGAGGACGTGGAGCACTGGTGGCTGTGCGCGCTCGGCTGGCACTGTCCGGCAGGCGAGCTCAGGGTTCTGGGCAGCCCTGCTGCAAGGGCGGAGGACCCAGGGCCAGGGTCAGTTCCCACTGCCCTCCTCCTGCGGCCTCAGTTTCCTCCACCTGGGGCTTGGAGCGCAGCGTCCCACTCCCCCACCCATACCCGCCCCAAACCAGAGTCCATACCTGGAAGGCTGGAGCGCACCGCCGTCCAGCGGGCTGGGAGAAACGCGGTGCGGGGGAGCTGGGCGGAGTGTAGGCGGAGAGATGGGCTGCGACCTAGGCGGAGAAGCTTTACTGCGCCCAGAAGAGCTTCCCTGAGGTCACAGGAATGGAGAACCAGCGAACGTCGCGCTCCCCATTGGGTTGAGGGTTGATTTTCCTTCTGATTCCTCTGCAGGCTAGGAGGCTACGAGCAGGTGGCTCCCAGCATCTCTTGGAGCTGTGAATCTGCAGCTGGTCCGGGAAGGGCTGCTCCTGTGGACTCCTAGCCCTCCAGGGCACAGGAGGGACGCTGTGACATCTGGCCAGTGACCTGCAAACCGAAGGGTGCAGAGTCTCCGGCAGCTGGGGCCTCCAGGAGGTGCAGGGAGGAGTCAGTGACGGAGGGGTCCTAAGGGTAAATAGGGAGACGAGAGGAGAGAAGCCAGCCAGAGAAACGGCAGGGAAGGCTAAGAAGAACACGACAACAATGCCTTGTGAGAAGTTGCGGGTTTGCTCAGGGTAGCAATTCCCCTTGGAGTCACAGATCAGATTTCCTGGCACCTGGGCACAGCCTCCCAGGTGCCTCAGGCATGTGGCCACCTGTGCCCTGGTCTCCCTTGAGGCCTACAGGTTCCCTGTAGGGCAGGGCCTGTGTCCTCAGTCTGCAGGTGCCGGACCCAGGAGCTTACCTGTGCTGTCTGAATGGCCAGCGCTTCCATTTTCTAGCTGTAAACAGGGCCCTGATAGAGCAGCTCCTGTTTCATTTTCCTCACTGGGTTTTGGGAACTCTGGCAACTTCTTTATTTATTTATTTATTTATTTTTTAAATTTTTTTTTGTTTTTTTTTTCCTCCGGTACCGGGAACCGAACTCACGACCTTGCGCTTGCCAGGCAGGCGCTTTTGCCACTGAGCTAAATCCCCAGCCCCCTCTGGCAACTTCTTAAAGAGGTGCAAGAGAAGGTACAGCACGCCTAGCTGCCTCCCTACCGGCCAAAGCCCTCTCCTGGTACATCGTGCACTCTCCCATCTCTATGCCCAGAGGAGGACATCGGTCTGATGACTGCACTGGCCTGGAAGGGGCTGGTGAAAAGGTGAGGGAAGGTAAAAGAGACCTCAAGACTTAAAAATAGAACAACCAACAGCGAACAAACAAAGCACAGGAGGTGTATGTGGACATTTGAGCAAAGAATTGGGCTGAGCTAGGGACTCAGGTAGAGGCCCTAGGTAGGAATCAGCAGGAGGACCAAGAAAAGCAAAGTCATCCACGCGCAGGGATAGGAGCCTTGGAGAGATGCTTCAGTCCTCTGTTTCGCTCCTCTCTCTGCATATGTGTGTGTGTGCATGAATATGTGTGTATACCTTTTCAAAACCTCCTATTCAGTTTTTCATTTCTTTTGAGGAGCAGGCAGACCACTGAAGAGAAGGCCCGGATCAAGGCTTCTATTTCCGGGTGTAGGTACAGTGCTGTCTCACCTGTTAGGCTGTGAGCTCCCGGGGCAGGAAGCAGTGCTGTGTTCCAGGAGCCTGCACAGGTCAGAGAGCAGCACACAGGCCCTGGTATGGGCATGCATGAACAAATGAATGAGCACCCAAGACTTCTTTGTGTCTCTGGTCTCTCATCTACAGGTAGCAGTTCTCAGGGTTCTTGGGAGGATCACTCTGACTCTTTTATCGATTTATTCAATAAGCATGGAATGCCTTCTGTGTGCCAGGCTGTGCTATGGAGATTTGGGCATGTAGCAGTGATTGCACAAAAGCCCCATCATAGGGAGCTGAGTCCACCAGGGGCTTAATACAGGAGGGCGGGTCACACGTGCATGGTCCCAGTTCAGCTGGGGGAAGTTGCCGGATGGGCAGGTCTTGCACAAGTTCAAGTCCAGCAGCCCAGAGACAGCCAGAAGAGGGCCGGCGTGGAGGTTAGTGAGTTCCGTGGCACCATGGTTTGGAGAAGCAGCCGTAGAAGCCTGTGTGCTAAAAGCCTGTTCCTCGGTGTGATGCCATTGGGAGGTGGTAGAAACATAAAGAGATTGGCCTAGAGGGAGGTCTTCAGGTCACTGGGGTTGCACCACTGAAGGGGGCTGTGGGACCATGGTTCCTTCTCCTCCCTCTATCTCTTTTGCATCCAGCCATGAGGTGAATAGGCTTCCTCTACCATCAGCCCCTGTCAAGATGTGCTGCCTGGCCACAGGCCCAAAGCAAAGGGGCTACTCAACCATGGACTGAAACTTCCTAAAGTGTGACCCCAAATAAACCTTTCCTATTTAAAAGTGATATTTCAGGTCTTTGTTACAGTAGTGGAAAACTGACTGAGACGCTTGGTACGAACAGTCATGCTATCCAATATCCCCATGTGGCTGTCACCTTCTTGTCCCCAGTTTTACCTTTGTAGAATGAACACACGAGGAGATCCTTCCCTTGCTTCCATAATGAAGTTGATCTGGATCCTCTCAGTTTGTTTTCCCACTGGCAACCCTGGAGGGCTGAGGCTTGCATTCAGGGATGTGTTACTGGACAAGATTTTTTGACTTAGAAGTGACAGAAATGAGACCTAGCCAAGGACTATAGACAGCTGAAGGGAGCCAGCACCGATCAAGAAAAGTAGATCGGGCTGCTCCCAGGAGAAATGGAAAGCTAGGCTCTTACCGATTAGCTAATGTGGGCTAAAGTCCAATAATTTTCTACTGGCAAGAGGCACGGTTGCAAAAGATGTTTCTTCGTCTGTGCAATGGTGCTCATTATCCCTACAAAGGAGAATAGTTTGCGGCAGCTGGGGGTGACTTTGTTACTTCTCCTTTTCCCCCATCACGGTGGTCCCTTACTGTCTCAGAGGGCATTGGCACTGGGCTGCATCCTTTCAGGGAGCTGGCTAAAGGCAGCCTTCTAGGGAGTGGCAGAGCTGGACTGGGAGCCCTTGACAGCAAGCCCGGCTGCTGGGCTCCCTACCATGCTCAGACCCTACACAATTGGTTCCCGGCTGTGACCTCCCTCTGAGATGCCAGAGCATGCTCACAGCTTTTCCAGCACATTAGGCCTCTATGGTTACATAAGCCTGGAGCCCTTGGAGGAGCAGGGGTGGCGGGACCCCAGCTTTCCATCTATAGTGGGAGCGGGAGCATGCGGCGCTTTCCCAGCCGTGGAGCTGGGGTACAGCGGGCTTGGCAGGGTGGAGGTGGGCTCTGTAGCCCACCGTGAGGACCGCACTTCCCTGACCATGGGAGAAATTTCTGTTTGGAGCAAGAGGCGGTGTCCTCGTGGGTGACAAGCAGATGTCTCTGCATTGCTCAGTCGAGACCTAGACTTGATTTTTGCCCACAGTGGGCAGCAATGACAGGCTTTGAGTTTTAGTCCACGTGCCTAGGCTTTTAAAAGTCTGATTTGCTGCGTGGTGTTGGCTGCAGCTGGTGAGAAGTAGGCTTTCTCTTTTCTGTCAAAGCACAAGGCCAAAGCACCTCCCTTTTGGGTTTAATGATCTGGCCATTACTTATCCCGCCACACCCGCCCTCCCCTGTTAATATCCTGAGCTGCAAGCAATGGTGACTGTGAACATTTTCCAGAACACAGGCAGTTTCCAAGATAAAGAACCAAGCACTTTACCCTCCAGACCGCACCCCCTTTCTAATTTCCTCAGCAACCCAACATCCCCGCCCCCCCGTGCCACGCCAGGTAGTCAACCTCACTGGACGGTAAGCCTTTGAATTCCGCCAATGAATTTAAAGTTGAGCTGCATCTCCTGCCTTAAGGATAAAAGGGGCAACCCTGCCTTGTCCTGCCTTGCACCTTCTGCAGAAGTAAAGTGCTTTGTTGAGATTTCTTAATGTCTAAGTGCTTTACTATCTGCGCTGACAGTTTGAGCCTTGGGGCTAATTTCTAACAGACCTCAGTTTCTCTGCCACGAATGGAGACCATAGACGTCTTCAGCGTGGTTGAGCTGTGGCTCTCTGGTGGGGTGGGGATGGGGGTCCCTGGGATGCATATGAAGTTGAGCAGCCCAGGTTTCATCCCTGCTACACCCCAAGCAGCTCTGTTCTGTGTTTGACACACTGGGCTTCGGTGACACATATCATCAGAGCACTATCACTGTCCCCCAAAAGGTGGGTTTACGAGTGACAAGCTTGGGGGGCTCTGGGGAATCTCAACCCCTCTGGGCTCCCTGCACCCTCTTTCTCTTCGGGCTGGTTGTTCAGGAGGCCTGGCGGGCTCACAGCCCCTTGCCTGGCCCACCCAGAACCCAGCAGGACCCAGGAGTCAGTCATTCTTTGCTCATGCTCATTGGCCCACACAGCCAAAGCCTGACTGAGAGGCGAGTAGCGTGCACTGTACCCTGGGCTAGCACATTCAGGCTCTCGGAGCAGAGTGGTCTGCTGATATCTGGGAGAGGAGGGACCTCATGGGCTGGGACCTGAGCCCTCGATACCTGGGAGAGGAGATTCCCGCCTGTGCTGGAGCCCAGCATTAGACCCGGAGCCTGGCGCTGCCCAGGAAAGGGTGTAGCAGGTTCACCAAGGAAATGAGACGATGAGTTTGATCTCATGTCACATGGGGGACTTGACTGAGAGTGATGCTTGAACTGTGGGGCAAAAGCACACAGGCTCTGTGAGAAGTGAATGTTAAATAACAAGAAATTTAGATTAGTGAGGCACGTTGTGTCTGGGCATTGTCCTTCCCCTCTCCCCGCAAAAAACTGCAGAGCCTTGAGACAGGCCTGTGCTCATTTTTTTTTTTTTTTTTGTCTTACGCTGATATTCTAAATAAAAGCTGGAGAGTTCTTGGCTTTGGGCCTTCCCCTGGGCACTCTCCAGGGCTGGGCACTCTCAGCTGAGATAGCCCCTCTGGGCCCTCTTGGTGACCGAACTAAATCCGACTGAGTAATCTTTCATCTTCTGCCATGCCATGGCTGCACGCTGCGACAGCTTCTCCCTAACCAAACTAAGATCAGCTTCTCCCAGGGCCCTGAAATTAGAAACCCCTCGGGTAGCCGAGGGAGTGGAAACTCACTCCCTGGTAAGAGTGCATCTGGACTCTCTGCCTGGATGGAAACTTGGCAACAAGACTCCACGATCTACCCCTGAGACTCAGTTTGTCTACTACTTCTAGTATCCAAGGAAGTGGCAGAGCTGTGAGCAAGGGGCTAATATGCTAGGCTGGTTGTCTCTGCCTCTAAGATCCTTGCGTGGGGCCCCTCCAGGGGCCAGCGGGGGAAATCTGTGTCCCTGGTAGGGGAAACACACTGAAGGCATTTCAATGTGGCTGTTATAGGTCCCCACACTTCCAGCACCTCTTGGCGAACCTGAGCTGGATTAGCGGGGTAGGCTGGCTGGGGTGTGTGTGTGTGTGTGTGTGTGTGTGTGTGTGTGTGTGTGTGTACACTGTCAGATACCAAGCTTGTTCCAGAAGGAGACAGACCAGGAGAAATGTCAGGAACAGGTGACGCTGGCCAGGTGTGTCCGACATGGTGAGAAGTAGGGGCTGAGGTAGCCTGGATCCCTGTGTAGGTGGCTCTGGGCCTCAGACATCTCTGCTCAGCATCCCATAATTCCTTGGGGGGTGGGAGCTCAGGGGGAGGAGGGACCCTTGTGCCTTTGGGACAGAGGGACCTGGCTTAAACCAAGCACGTAGTACTACTAACTGCCAGGAGGAGCCCCGGCACCGCCAAGTCCCATCAGAGCACAGGTGAGCTATAGTTTGACCTGTTCAGATGAACTGTGATTTTCCCTTGTCTTAGTTACTTTACTCGTCACGCGAACAAACTCCCTGACACCCACAAGTTAAAGGAGGATAGGTTTATT